TGATTTCCAACAGCTGACCTTGTGGTCGGCAGCCCACGACACCACCAGGGCTCCTAAAATTAACCAATAGGCTAGCTCAGATGAGACTAGCTAAACAAACGAGAGCCCACCCACATAACGAGGCACTAAAAAGGCCACAAAAAGTGGCGCAATCTGAGACTACCACTAAGCGTAAAAATCAAGATGCAGAACAATGCATGTAGAAGGCTATAATTTAACAACGTGCACAGATAAAAACCATCTGTGCCTGTGTGTGCACGTCAAGTACACACACATTTGTATGTGTTCTGTCTGTGTATCATTGAAAAGATCCACTGCAAACTAGTCGATATGAAATAGGTACTTTAAGCAAAGTCCCTGCCTAGATGGGTTTGCTGGCTCAGCAGCCCAATCCCTGCGTATTGCCCAGAGCTGCTGGTGCAGCTAACAAAACACTCGGACCGCCTGACCTACTCCAGGGTCCGCTAGTCCAAAAAGATTTACTTCCTCAAAGGAAAAAAGATTTGTAGGCAAAATACTTTTCTTTTTTTGAACCCAATTTTTTTTTCCTATTATTTTCCTGGCCCTTTTGGGAAAGCCACTTGAAACGTCTCACCCCTGCTCAGCTAACTGGGCCTCATAAAGGCCACTCCTCTTTGAGAGCCCGCCCTCCGAGCAGCACGTCTTCCGATGGGCTTCTCACCTGAACCAGCTGCTCCTTGAGTTTGTAGATGGGCAGACTCTCCCTCTGCTCAAGGATGGACATCTGGGTCTTTTTCCCGTAAGACGCTTTGTTGCCCCCAAAGGCATGTTTCTTCCACTCAGGGATGTCGCTGGGCATCATCCCGATACCCCTCATGTTGGCAGCAATCTGCCTGCCTTCCGCTGGAGGGAAGACGGGCAGTTAGTATTTTCCCTCCAACGACCTCAGACGCAACAAGGGGAGAAGCCAGCGTGTCAGGTCGGCGCCACACGCGGGTTATTCTGGGTCAGTCTGAGCCTTACCCAGGGAGGGCGTTCAGTGGAGCCACGGAAGGTGGAGAAAAGGACACAGAAGTGGGAGGAGGGCAGGAAGAGAGGGGTCCTGACAAGTGACGGTCCACCGCTGTGCCAGGCCTGACAGGAGACCCGACCCCTGGTCAGGTATGAACACTGGGGTTCTTCTCATTTTCTTCACAGCGAGGCAAAATTCGCCTACCACAAAAGTCACTGTCACACCATTTCAAAGTGTACTAACTCCAGTCACTCAGAGGCTATACTCACACAGCTGTACAGCCATCACCATCTAATTGTTTTACAGTTCCATTGGCACTTAATCCACCTCTCACACAATCAATAGTTCAACCATAGCAAGAAAAACTGTACAATCATCACAATTTCAGAACAATTTCCTTCCCCCGCCCCCATGATGAAATCGCCTTAAAGTGAGTTGTGTAATCACCCTCAGTTCTAGTGCTCCCTCCCAACCTCCCGCCTTCATTATTTGCTCCCCAAGTGCCCTCAACCTCCCATTTCCCCTCATGCCTCCCCTACACACGCCTGCATCAGGAATTATCTCTATGCACCCACTCCTCCTGGGCTTCACAAACGGGATACACAGGAATATGAAGATAAACATGCGCACATACGAGTAAGAAAAAGGGCCACCATCAATATTTTAAAAGCCAGGGATGAAGTTTCTGTCCATCACTGCCTAATTGTAGCACACTGTTATCATCTCAGAAAGAGACCCCCTACCCATGGACATAGCCCACCCCTCCCTCCTGCTCAGCGCCAAGTTGTAAACCATCTCTGCGGATTTGCCCAGGTGGACATTTCCTCAGGAGGCCCGGTGGTGCTGCCGGGGAAGTGGAGGACTTCAAGCCCGTCAGCCTCTCCGCGAGGGAGGCCCACGAGGCTGTCTGCTCCCATGGGGCTGCTATGCGTCAAGATCCACTCAATGGCAGCGCGTCTGGGCCTTCCACAGTATTGGAATCATCTACTGTGTCTGGTTTCTCCACTGGGCATAGTCGGTTCACGGTTAACCCGGAGATTCATGGCCGTCAGGAGCAAGGAACATACAGAATTTTAATGGTTCTCACAGTGCAATACTTGGTCAGTGGACCGCCCTCTCTTGGCACAACTTGAATTTGCTTTAGGCTTAACTACCGTATGAACTCACGTATAAGCCGAGTTTTCCAGCACATTTTAATGCAGTTTCTGTGGTAAAGTTAGGTGCCTCGGCTGATATTCAGGTCAGCTTGTACTTGAGTATATAAGGTATTTCTTGCTTGTTCCATGACAGAAATTTCTTCTCTGGCTTTTTAAATATTATGAGTGGTCTTTCCTTTCTTACGCTTTATTTTTCTGTTTATATTATATATTTTTTCTTTGTCACTTTGGTTGTTTTCTGTTTCTGTGGGGTTTCCCAGTTTACGCATAGCGACAATACCTAACGCAACGGTTTGTCGAGGCTGGGGAGTGGGGGGTGGGGGGCTATGGTATGATATGCTAATTCTATAGGAAGAAACTACTTTGAAAAAAAGACAGAAACCCAAGCTGACCGGTGTTACCATGTGTGAAGCAGGAAGGGTTGCTGCGTAGGGGGCAGGGAGTGTATGTTAATGGTGGTGGAAGTTTGGAAAGGGGCATCAATCATGGTTGTACAACACAGAGAGCACAATCAATGGCACTGAGTCATACATGCAGAAGTTGGAGAATGTTTCTTTGCACATAGTTTTGCCATGATTAAAAATAATAATTACACTGATAACATGAGTACAGGAAGACAATGTCCTAAAACTGACTGTGGTGATGAATGTACCACTCTTCTTGATGTGACTGAACGATTACATTGTGAGATATGTGCATGAAGTGCCAATCAAACTGGTAAAACGTTAATGTTTCTCTAAGGCATCAAAACTGTACAGATCTGATGGCAAAAAAGGGTTGTAAAAACGTATCTTTCCCCTGGGTAATATCCAGAATAATCCTTTGGAAATGACACACTGTTGATGTCACTCCCGTGGCTCAGCATTTTCCATTGGATTTATAAGCAAGCCCATTGCCAGTGCCGCCTGTGCCAGCCTTATCCTCCGCACCCTGCCCCTTGCTCTCTGTACTCCAACGACACAAGCCTTCCCTCGGTTCCTCAAACGCATCATCACCCCGCGCCCAGCACAAGCGACTCCGTGGCCTCGGGTGCTGTCCTTGACACCTCTCGCCCTGCTTCACTGCCGGGCAAGAGGAAGTCCCACTGAACAGAACTGTCTCCCCCAGGGCCACGCTCTCTCTACAAGAGGACTTCAAAAAGTTTGTGGAAAAGTGAAATTAAACGATATGTGGGGAGGGAGGGGGAAAATGAGGACCTAATGCCTGGGTTTAAGTGGAGAGGAAATGTTTTGAGAGTGATGAGGGCAATGAACGTACAAATGCGCTTTACACAATGGATGTGTATATGGATTGTGATAAGAGTTGTACGAGCCCCTAATAAAATGAATTAAAAAAAAAGAACAAGAAAAAAAAAAGGAAAAGTAAAAAAACAAAACAGAAAAAAACGATATGGGGTTTTTCCACGAACTTTTTTGAAGTCTCCTTTTATTTCTTCATACCGTTCATAATTCAATGAACTCCTTGCTAGCACGGGACTAACAAGTCACTCTCCCACTAAATCATAAGCCTCAAAGTGTTCAGTCCACAGCTGTGTTCCAGTCCTTCGGGCACACGTTAATGGGCGTGCACCATAAATGAATCATATTAACAAGTGACCGGCACTCAAGTCGTCAATATTCACTGTACAAAGAACTACATGAAAACCTTAAGATGCAAGTAATTTAGGGCAGACACTAACCAAGCTAATGGTTTGTCGAGTTCCAAAACATTTTTTGGTTTCACCACGTTCTCAAGAACGGAAGGGGACCCAATAGCAAGGCGGAAGCAGGCCCTCTCCCTGTGCACAGCGCCCCCTGGGAGGCCTCACCGTCAGGCAGAGGGTCCACCCAGTGCTTGTTGAGCCCCATGGGAATCGAGTCCATTTCCGCCTCCCGCTGGGCCTGCTTGAGCTCCCGCCGTTCCTTCGCCAGGGCGCTCTGCATCATGGCTGCTTGCGAGAGGGAGCCGTCGGGGTTCTAGGGCCAGAAAGCAACAGCAGTGTCGCCGTGGTCCGCGCTCAGACCACCGCACATGGGCAGGGACGGTCTGAGCCTCTCACCTTGACGATTTTAATGGGGCTCATGTCCATGCTTTGCTTGGTGTGGCCTCTCAGGAATGGAGGCTCCTCCTCCACCAGCTCGATCTCAAGGTCCTCATCTGAGAAGAAGAATCAGCGGAATCAAGAGACACCACCGCTTTTCACCAACGCGTCGGTACCCGCTCCTCTCCTGAGGCCAGAGAGCAGCACAGTGAGATCCCGACCCAGATGACTCTCCGCCACGTCTGAGATTTCTATTTTAATCCACGCCCTGATCGGAGCTATTTTCAAAGGAAGTCAAGCGTGTGGAAAACGCTGCTCTGACATTCTAAACGGGACCAAAACGCATCTCCCACTAATTTCATTACAGGACAGTTCCGAATCCACCAGAGAGAAAGCAACGGGATAACGTTTGGTATCGGAGCTTTGGAAAAGAAGCTGGACTTGTCTGGGAAAGTTGAGCACACACTTCCCAATGAATCTATGAGACAGAGAAAGCCTGGATCGGGCAGTGAGAGAGAAGGATTCCACAGTAGTGTTCTTTTAAAAGCACAACCCACCTGTCCACACAATGGATAGGTTATGGTACATTCAACTATAAAATACAGGAACAAAAGTGAATGAAACATAGCTGAAAACAATCAGTAATATCAAACGCCTGTTGGGGAGCTTAAAAAAGAGGAAGGAGAAAGATGTCATCAGGGAGTCACGCCGAGACGCGGAAGATGTAGCAACGTTCTGCTCTGTAAGCTGGCAGTGGAAATGTCCGTGTCTGTTATTCCTCTATCGGTTACGTGTGTTCTACTAAAAGACTTCACAATCAAAAGAAATCACTAATGGGCTAAGTTTAAAGTTGTGTCCAGGGAAACTCAGAGTTTGAAGGTAGGTGGATCCAAGGTTTTCGGAATGACTAAGAATGTGCAGTCAAATTTACTTCCAAATATCCAGTTAACTGACCTCATAACGTGTTGTGCTTCTTTCTATTTGCAGAGTCTGGGGCCTTAAAAGTTGTCACGGGCCATCGAAGGCACAGCTGGTCTCCAGTCCCGCGAGTGCCACCGGGAAAAGAGCACTCTGGGCGGTAGAGGATGTGGACCGTGTGGCCTTGCTTTGTCAGGAGACACTGGGTGGTACCCGACTACCGTTACTGAGCATTTTGAGCAAAGCTTTTCCACAAAACGGGAAAAGCACAATGGAATTTCGGATCCTCATGAAATCCAGACATTCTGGAGCCACGGAGGCTGAACGAGCCCTGAAACAATTCCCATGAGAATATCTTTACACCCAAGTCCTCTGAAGAGCACACACAGTCTAGGAGAACCCGTGAAACCGTCTGCTTCGGAAAGAACTAGCTGCGTGAGATGAGTGACAACAGTCTCCCCAGGACCGGGGTTCAGAGGACAGAGAGTTTACATGGGGAGGGAGAGCCCCTCGGAACAGGAAGGTGAGTGGCGTGCCGAGCACACCTGGAAAGGGAGA